GGCCTCTTTTATAAGGGAACTAATCTCAATTATGAAGGATCTACCTTCATGACCTGATCACCTCCTAAATATCCCACTTCCAAAACCATCACTTTAGAGGTTAGGATTTCAACACATGAATTTTCGAAGGATACAAACACCCAGCAATTCTACTTCTAGGTATATATCCAAAAGATTTGAAAGCAGGGACTCTAACAGATGTTTATACACCAATGTTCATAGCAACATTATTCACAATAGCCAAAAGATAAATGGATAAATTAAATGTGCTATATATACACACAATAGATTAGTGTTCGGCCATAAAAAGGAATGAATTTCTGACCTGTGTTACATGGCTGAACCTTGAAAACATTATGCTAACTGAAATAATCCAGACACGTAAGGACAAATATATATGATTCCAACTATATGAAATATCTAGAGTAGACAAATTCATAGAGATAGAAAGTAGATTAGAGGTTACCATGAGGTAGGGGTAAAGAAAAATGAGGAGTTACTGCTTAATGGGTACAGACTTTCTGTTTAGGTTGATAAAGGGATTTTGGATACCGATAGTGGTAATAGTTGCACAACATCACAAATGTAATTAATGCCAGTGAATTGTACGCATAAAATGATTTAAAAGGTTAATTTATATTACATATATTTTATCATAATAAAACTTTTTAAAAGACTGATAAATTGCATTAACATTTCATAAAAATAAAATTAAATAAATAAATACATAAATAAAATATGACTAGCAATTTTAAGACACTTAAATACTTGAATTAATTTACTGAATCTCTACTCTGGGGATTAGTGTTATCTCTCATTTTACAGAGACAAAACAGTTCTAATTAACTGGCTAAGCAAGCACAATAGTTGTAAATATGATCAGTGTTTGGTTGTCTATCCACAAAATAGGAAACATTTTTCTAAAAGATGATCCAATTCTCGATATTCCCTGTATAACTGCTTAATTTGCACTTTATTCAAGGGTTTCTGATATAATATTGTGTAGCAAAGGAACTTAACATCTATGAGAGAAGGTAATTATCATACTAATATTGCTAGAAAGAGGCATTGTTGTGTTACCAGACTCCAGATTCCCACCTTATTCTTTCAATCCCTTTATTCCTCTCATACATTATAATGATTTATTAAGAAATAAATATAGGCCAGGCAAGCTGGCTCATGCCTGTAATCCTAGCACTCTGGGAGGCTGAGGTGGGCAGATTGCTCGAGGTCAGGAGTTTGAAACCAGCCTGAACAAGAGCGAGACCTCCGTCTCTACTATAAATAGAAAGAAATTAATTGGCCAACTAATATATATAGAAAAAATTAGCCAGGCATGGTGGCACATACCTGTAGTCCCAGCTACTCGGGAGGCTGAGGCAGTAGGATTGCTTGAGCCCAGGAGTTTGAGGTTGCTGTGAGCTAGGCTAACGCCATGGCACTCACTCTAGCCTGGACAACAAAGCGAGACTCTGTCTCAAAAAAAAAAAGAAAGAAAGAAAGAAAGAAATATAAAATTCCAGATAACTTCTTAGTTTTTAGATAATTCCATATATATTAAATACCCAATTATCTCTTTGCTATCCAAGTATAATTTATCTTCCTCATGACCCTTGCCATCATTGCAAGTTGAAAGTCTTAAAAATTAAAACTTAAGAGGTTTCACACATTTGAGAACTAATTCATTTAGTAATAAAAAGTAAATTTGGGTTTCATTCTCTTCAGAGAGAAGAGTCTCTCAAGGTGGGTTGTGAGTTGCCATTTTCTTCTTTTCAATAAAAGCAGAAGTCTATTAAAGCATGTTAATAAAAACCGTATTTAAAAGAATTACCAAACCAAACTAAGCAGCCGGAAAAAAATGCCATTTGGTACAAGGTGATATAAGAGACAGGTAAGGGCCTCTGCCCTCAGGGAGATTATAAACAGGGAGGGGAATAAGTTTTGGATATCACATTCTGCAGAGTAATTCATAGACAAGGTAAAAACAAGGTGCTTCAAGAGTCTGAGAAGAGAGACATGGGGACTCCAGTCACAGTAAGTGCAATGTATGGAGCCTCAGAGTAAGTACTGAGTCTAGAACAGCCGGGTCCCCCTGGTTGCTGGAACCTGCCATTTCTAGGAAGGGAAAATTCTTGTCACTGCTTCTACTTGTGATAAAATGAAACCACTTTCAAAAAGAAGGTTCCTCTTCCTAGTTTGTTTGGATACCTTTCTACTGCCTCCACTCAAAGACAGGAAGACAAAAAAGGAGAAGGTTCCTTCAAGATTGCCTCACGAAGATAAGAGCATCACGCCCATGCTCTTGTTCTGGGTGTCCACTGAGCACACCCCAGAGGGAGGCTGAGAGACTTTGAGACCTCGATAAACACGGGCTTCACCTGAATTTACACCATCAGTGCATCCCTCCTTTAGTTGGTTCTCTCTGTTCTTCTTTTTAAATACGAATATTCCCTGGAGGGAGGTAAAACATTAAATGGATTCTCATTAAGGAAACTCCTTAGGCTTATCGGATCTGCTTTTCTCTGGAGAGCGCTCAGGAGCTCCACGTGTCTGGTTGCTGCAATAGACAAAGTACAGAATGGAGGTCAGGGCCTCAAAGTACTCCTACTTCCCCGCGGAGCCTGAGGGTGACTCAGGCCCCCACTTGGGGGCATCAGTAAGCTGTCCTTAATAATGAGAGTGTATTTGCTAGGTGTTTTCTTAACTTGTTTCAATATAGAGCCATACCTAGTATTAACAGGGAGGAACTTGAGAGTTGATGAAAGCCATGTATTTTACCAATGACCCAAGGACTTCTGGCAAGGTGCCTTACCTGGGCTGGGGTCATGTCTATTTTCCCTGGACACAGACATGCCTGTCGGTACAGAAAGGCCTATTTTTGATCTTGGAAATAAAAGTTTCCTGGGACGAGTTATTAGTCCTTTCCAGCCTTCCCACCCCATCGGCCGTGGCCATGGCCTTCTGATCTGTGCTTCTCAGTGGTGCTGCAGGCTGCAGGTACAGCCCCATCCTGCCGCCCTGCCCCTCCAGAGCACACCAGACAGGCTGCTTCTGCTGAGACCCAAATCCAGGATTTCACTTACTGTAGGTCCTCCTTGCCACAGGCCCAAGTCGACCTCCCATTTGGTGGGATTTATAATCCACTGCTTCCCAATCCTAGCAGAATCCCGGTGGACCATCAGAAACTTGACTGACAAGAAAAGAGCTCCAGGACCATGGCTCCCAATCCCTACTGCTGGCAGTATCTCCCCAGCAGCGAGCTGTGGGAGCCAACCTGTTCTGCATCTGCTTGGCAAGAGCAAGGCGAGCATCTCCTTGAGAAATGTTAACCCCTAGGAAATCCCAGACTCCAGTCCTTCTCACCCCGTGGGGAAGTGCAAATTGGGTAGAAGAGAAGAAACTGATTTAATTAAAAACCCAAACAAAACATCAGACTTAGATATTTTTGTTTTTCTCACCAGGTCCAGATTAACACATGCAATTCAAAATAAGAACAACTTAAGGCAGGAGATAAGTGTAAGGAAATCCTAATTTTCACAGGAAGACTACTGTGGTAATTTTTTTGCAATCCCAAATTCTCTTTCCACCTGTCTGGCCAAGCATAATCTCCTCCTCTCCCTCTCTCATTGTGGCCTTATTGTTGTCAGAAGCTTGTACTTTTAGGCAGGAGTAGTTACTTCCACTCCCTATGCACAGCTTAAAGCATCCTTGTAAACAAAACAAGCAGAGGAAACATGCTGGGAAATCCAAAGATTTGGGCTTTTGCGGATTCTTTTCACTTGGGAGCAGCTGCTGGGGACTAGGAAGGATTAACCTGAAGAGTGAAAGGCTACTCCTCCTGACAGGAGCTGGAGGAGGACAGAGGCCTCGGGTGGTCTCCTCTGCCTGCTCCTGGTCAGCCTTCTGGCCTCAGGGGCCATGCTCCCAAGAACTGCCCTCAGCTCCTCATCTCACTCTCTCCCTGCACCTGCCTCCCTCTTCCACAACCATGCTGGGGACTGGCACCATCACAATTCAATATTTTGTTCACTTTCATGTCAAGTAACACTATCCAGGGAGGTGGCTTAGACCTGCAGTTCCCAACCCCCGGGCCTCAGACCAGTACTGGTGTGTGGCCTGTTAGGAACTGGGCTGCACAGCAGGGGGTGAGCAGCGGGTGAGCGAGCGAAGCTTCATCTGTATTTACAGCCGCTCCCCATCACTTGCATTATCGCATAAGCTCTGCCTCCTGTCAGATCAGTGGTGACATTAGATTCTCACAGGAGCGCAAACCCTACTGTAAACCACAAGTTGCAAGGGATCTAGGTTGCGTCCTCCTTATGAGAATCTAATGCCTGATAATCTGAGGCGGAGCTGAGGAGGTGATGCTAGTGCTGGGGAGTGGCTGCAAATATAGATTATCATTAGCAGAGGGGTTTGACTGTACAATAAATGTAATGCTCTTGAATCATCCTGAAACCATCCCCCCCAACCCAAGTCCGTGTAAAAATTGTCTTCCATTAAACCAGTCCCTGGTGCCAAAAAGGTCAGGAACTACTGGCTTAGACAAAGGAAGAAAAGATAGGAAATCTGGGTTCATATTAACTCTGCTGCCAGTGGTAAGGTCCAGAGATGCTCAGATGCATGAAATTTGCTCAGAATTACTTAGACAAAGCGGATACTGGCCACACCCCTTCACTTCTCCTGTGTTTCACAATGAAGACATCTGAGAGAAAAAAGTAGGGGGTGCATAATGGGAGTAAATACGGTAATCTGCTCATTAGCTAGAGCAAGTGCTGGACTTAGGACTTAGGAGTGCCAATGGGGCCCGCGTAGTGCTACCTCTGGCTGAGACTGCAGTGTAGGCAAGAGAAAAGATTGTCTCATATCCGGGGATATCATAAAGTGAATAGGAAGAGGAAGCACTGCTTTTACTTCAGCAGAGCCTCAGCCTCTCCCTGTGAGCCAAGTGTCCCTCCGAGAAAAGCAAAGACTAAGCCAAGACTTCTGTCTTTAACAAGGCAGCTACTTCACCTGTATTGATGTTTCGATTGATCCTTTGCTCCTGATTGTTCAAAGTGGACCCCAAAGGAGACGGCAGAGCAAAGAAGGTCCTGCCAAACAGGTATGGTTTTTCTTTCTTTCTCTTTTGCTAGGGGCCAGCTGCCTTCAGTTGCATGCAAAAAGTTGTGTGGGAACACAAATATATCTTATGTGAGAGGTCAACATCGTAGCAGGTTGTGGATCATGTTGGCCTTGCTGCTTGCTGTCTCCTCATTTCTAGGTTGAAAAAAAAGCATGAAGACAATCACCTCGTATTGAACCCCATTGCCGATGCCCCCTGGTCCTGCCTTTGCCTCCTAGAATAATAAACACAGTAGGAAACAATTCTCAGGAGTTCTCACGAGTCATACATACAACCAGCCCCTCTCTGTTACTGGGCTGGAGTCCCCGACCTAGAAGATACCACCACATGGGACTGTGAGAACTGGGAACAGCTCAGCCCTGGTTCCTCTTGGCCTGTTGGGTTAGCGCTGGCAGCCCCTGGCAGCCCCCAGGGCCAAGGACAGCAGCATGACAGTCATGAGGCCTCACCAGCTCAGAGCAGGGGCCCTCGGAGCCCCTGCCACACCCCTGCACAGCCATGTGGCTGAGTCAGCTTTGGACCACTGAGTTTTCTACCTCTACTTGTGAGGGGAGGCATCTTGTCCCACAGAGCTGAGTCTTTCCTGCATGTTCCTGCCACCAGGCCCTTCTTCTGCCCACAGCACAGCCCAGCATGGCTGAGGCTATGACAAGAGGCGTTGCTTTAAGGCCATTCCTATCTAGTCTCGGCCAGGAAGCACCTCTGAGGCCACTGAACCTTGACTCAGCGAGTCAGCTGTGGTTGGCGCTAACTCCTCCTACATGGTCTTTAATGATATGCCAGGAGGCCTCAGAGGCCACAAGCTATTTAATCAGTTGGTTAATAAGAAAGATTATTTCTCTGTACATGAAAATACTTACTTAAAAATATTTTGGTTATATAATAAACTTAGTCTAAACCTGAGGTTGGCAAACTATGGCTTACAGACTACATCTGGCCCACCAGTTGTTTTTATAAATAAAATTTTATTGGAACACAGCCAGGCTCAGACATTGTGTACTGCATATGGCAGCTTTTGCCCTGCAACAGCAGAAATGAATGGTGGCAAAAAAGACAGTATGGCCTAAAATATTAACTATCTGGCCCGTAACAGAAAAAGTTTGCCAACCCCTAGTCTAAAAGCTATCAACTTGTTAAAAAATTATATGAAATAAACATAAGACAACCACAAAACTAAGCTATTTTGTGTAGGTATTAACTTTGTAAATTATAAAGTAATACGTTTTTTCATGCTCCTTGTGAAATGAAAAAGCAGTATAAAGCTAAATTTACCTTTGGCTATCCTGCCAGTCCTAATCCCCTGTTTCCCCAAAAGTAACTAGTATAATGTGTTTACTGCCAGACCAGCTTTTGTGTATGTGTGTGTTCATACATGCACATATGTACTAATAAATACATTTGTCATCATGTTGTTCTCATTCTGGTTTTCCACTCAACAACATGACTTGGAGACTTCTGTATCTATATGGTGCCCTAACTCACTTATTTTAACTGCTATATAGTATTTTACAGTGTACGATCCTTTTAGCCACTTCCTTTTTGATAGATATTTAAGCTGTTTCCAATTTTCCAGTCTTAACAATGAACCTCACTGCATATGTCTGCTTGTACACATGTGCACAAGTTTCTCTGGAGGAACTACTGAGAAGGCAAATTGCTACCACATAGGATATATGCGGTTCAATTTCAGACACTTTGAAATGGCCTCTCCGGTGCCAGTGCTGATTTATACCAGCAGACAAGGATAGTTACTGTTCCTCCACACCCTAAGCCGTGCTTGCTTAGATTTAATATTTTATTATTTTTTCCAACTGAATGAGTGAAAATGGCAACCCATTATTTCAGTATTTTAATTTCCCTGATTATTAATGAGGTTGAGTGTTCTTTTTATATAACTCTTGGCCATTGTATTTCCCCTTCTTAAATTGCCCATTCATTTCTTAGCTCATTTTATACTGGGCTTTTTACTAATTTGTAGGAGTTCATGATTTATTCTCAGTGCTATCCTTTGATACACTTGTGATAAATATTCTGTCACTTTTTTTTTTTTCTGTCACTTTTTAAAACTTTTTTTAAGATGATTTTTTTTTTGGGTCAACAGAAATTTTTACTATTGTTGTTATTTTAATGTAGTTGAATTTGTCAATTTTCCCCTTTATGGATTTTACTCTTTGAGGTTGATTTAAGAAAGCTTTCTCAACTTCCAAGATTATGATGATATTTAGCATACTTTTTATAATAGTTTTATCATTTAAAAATACAAGTTTTTATCTACCTGGAACTTATTTTAATGAATTACTCCAATATCATTTATTGAAAAGTTTATCTTTTTCCTATTTATTTGAAATGTTATCTCTATCATGTACTAGATTCCCACTTACACATGTCCATTTCTGGATACTCCATTCTTTTGTATTTATTTCCTTTCTTGAGACAATTGCAACTATAGCTTCTACATTTTATGTTGATTTATTTCCTGATGTATAGGAATTCTAGTTTGGTACCTTACTAAATTCTTTTAATAGTTATAAAAGTTTATCAGTTGATTCTTTTGGAATTTCTAGATAGGCAAACATATATTGTGAGAGTTCTGCTCCTTCCTTTCTAATCTTAACAAGCTTTATTTTTTTGTCTTATTATCTTTTCTTGGCCCTCCAGCACAATGTTGAGTAATAGACATGACAGAGATGATCTCAGGGCTGATGCATACAGTTGTGTGGGTTGTACACTGTGAGGGGATAAGGTTCACAAATACTTACCGTGTTTCCCCAAAAATAAGACCTACCCATAAAAGAAGCCCTAGCAGGATTTCTAAGTATTTGCGCAATATAAGCCCTACCCTGAAAATAAGACCTAGTGATGGGCGTGGCTACGCAGCGCATCTGCACAACCCATGCATTTCGTTGTGGAGCGGTAAAGACGAGCAGCCCTTCTCATCTGCCCCATTGTGACAGCTACTATCCCAGAGGTGACAGGAAAGGTGTGGGCAGCCCCACCAACAAGGTTGGCTCCCCCTGTCAGGTCCTGGCCATCCTGTGTGTGCTGCAAGCTGAGGCTTTGCAGGGAAAATAACACATTCCCTGAAAATAAGCCCTAGGGTGTCTTCTTGAGGAAAAATAAACATAAGACTCTGTCTTATTTTCGGAGAAACATGGTAGATGTCCTAGGCATTCTTGTCATTTTCTGATTTTAATCCATTTTTATTTTGTACTGTAAATTCATATTTCTTAGAATCTTCTCTCTGGGATTCTTTGAGGCTGAGGTTGAAACTGTTTACCTCCATACCTATTTGCTTTTGCCTGGAGTCTGGGGACAGAACCAACTGGGACTACCATAAACTTGGGGTTTATTGGCCATACAAATAGTGTGAATTCCAACCCAAACTTAGATGATTACAGGATTGTGGTTAGGAATTCTCAAAGGAAACTTTCCTTTTTTTTCTATGCAGAACCAGAGCTGAGAAAGCCATGAATTGCCCTGTCTCCTACTACAGAGGATGTCATATTACTGAGGATGTCATCCTTAGGGGATCCTGATTTTATGCTAAAGTCTATGATCTGACCTCCTACCCTGCGTAGGCCCAGGCTTGGTCTCCTATTCTCCCATTAAAACCAAGGCTTCCCAGCCTGAGCAAGAATGAGACCCCATCTCCACAAAAAACAGGAAAGTTAGCCGGGTGTGGTGGCACCTGAGGTGCCAGCTATTTGGGAGGTTGCAGCAGGCAGATTGCTTGAGCACAGGAGTTCGAAGTTGCAGTGAGTGATGATGACATCACTCTAGCCTGGGTGACAGAGTGGGACCCTGTCTCAAAAACAACAACAACAACAACAACAACAACAACAAAAACACCAAGTCTCCAAGCCTCTGGAGTCTAGATAACCCCAGGGTAATCACAGACTCCCCCTTTCTAACTCCTCCAGGCTTAGCATAGTCTTTTAAATTTTGGCCTCCGGAGACTTCCCTCACTTTCCTACCAGCTCCATCCTACATTAAAAACAATATTTAAAAAAACTTATATAGTATTTTTAGGTGTGCTGTGTCAGGAGGATTTTCTCTAAACACCTTCTCCATCATAGTACTGGCAGTAACATCTCTATTTTTTTACTTTAATAAGAATGATTCTAATGTGTCTTCAATAACATTTGTAGTAAATTTTTTGGCAACTATTCTATATCAAGTTATTGAAGTTCTCTTCTATTCCTCTTGGTTAACCAATAATTTTTAAATCGTGAATGAGTACTGAGTTATAGTCAACACTTTCAGGATCTGTTAATTTCCTCATCTTATTTCCATTGCGAACGGACTCTTAATTAGATAGCTCATCTCTAGAGTGATGGAAGCAGAGATGACCCGCTAGCTACTAGGACCCTTGGAACGCAGACCCACGATTAGAGAGAACAATAAATTCAGAGAATGGGAACAAAATTGATTCAAAATCTTAGTGTGGTTGCCATGTTCTCTACACAGAGCCATCAGACTCTTGTCCTTACACTGAGCACAACCTGGGACGCACACAAGGAGAGTGTGGGAAACCCCTCTGGCATACGGGGGCCTTCCGGGTCATGTTTTTTGTTTGTGTTTTTTTCTTTGAGACAGAGTCTTACTCTGTTGCCCGGGCTAGAGTGCCGTGGCATCAGCCTAGCTCACAGCAACCTCAAACTCCTGGGCTCAAGCGATCCTCCTGCCTCAGCCTCCCAGGTAGCTGGGACTACAGGCATGCGCCACCATGCCCGGCTGATTTTTTCTATTTTTAGTTGCTTGGCTAATTTTCTTTGTATTTGTAGTAGAGACGGGGTCTTGCTCTTGCTCAGGCTGATCTCGAACTCCTGAGCTCAAGCAGTCCTCCCGCCTCGGTCTCCCAGAGTGCTAGGATTATAGGCATGAGCCACTGTGCCCGGCCTGGGTGGTGTTTTTGAAGGGGATTGGGAAATGTTTCCTGCCACACCTCCTGATCTTCTATGGAACATTGAAATAACAAA